ACGGTTTTTATTAAAAAGCATGACAGTAAAACACGAACACGGATATGAACATATTAAAACATATGCTTGTTTGTTGTAAAAATGTATAAAACAATGAAAAAAAAAGCTAGTTTCTGCATCTTCCAGGTGCAGCCATGCTGCCGTTGTTTTAATTTTCTAACCCCTTGGTTTCTAATGTAGTCCTGAAAAATCTCAGTTTCGAGATGTATCTAGCCCTTCCCCTTAGCCCTACGCTTTCAGGCTAAAGAAAATTGAAAACCCTTACCCCGTCACGTGAACGCACAAAATAAGGGGTAGGGTTAAGGGGAAGGGCTAAGGGGTAGAATTGGGATTGGGCCTTGGTGTGCTCTGCAGCTCACCCGGTAAAGCATTGTATTTGTGAAAGTGTGAGTCCTGTAAAACATCATAGTTCAATACATTGCTTGAAGTCATGTTTAAAGCCAGTTATAATGACAAATGTGTAGTTCTGTGTAACATTTGGTTTTATTACGTTGAGGAGAGTATTGTTTAGCTTATGTGAAGCTTGCAACATCCTCTTGTGGACGTTTTATAACAAAAGTGTTGTAAAATGTATATGGCGATGTCCATTTCATCTTTTGCTGAAACATAGCCAGTCACGTATTTCCAACGAGTCTTGGTTGCAGAATCTTCTTTTATGTTTCTTAAACAACATAGGGTGTGCAAATGAACATAATTATTCTGTTTTTCTTTCCGAATAATCTCTTTTTGGTGGAAGTCAAGTGCTTGTCATGCTTATTTTAGCATTAACATGAACACGATGCTCATTAATATGAAGATTTGGGAAACATTAGTGTGTTTGATTTTTTGGCCAGGGTCCTGTGATCTGCAGTTCTGTCCTCAGTGAAGAGTGCAGTATTGTGAGAGTGGGAGCTCCCGCCAGCGGAGGAAGCCCACAGTCTGTCGCAGTGTGTGTGTGTGTGTGTGTGTGTGTGTGTGTGTGTATGTATGTGTGTGTGTGTGTGAGTGAGACTCTGGGGAAACCAGCGCTCAGTATTCAGTAACACATGGAGCCTTCTGGGCGGTTCACAGCTTTTGCTAGTGTGACAGTCTTTGGGATTCTGTGCCTCAAAATGACAGCTGTCTTCAGACGAAGGACGCAGCGTTTTCTATATGACATACGCTGCCTTTTAAATTAGGATTTGTTAAACATGTTTAAATGCACAGATATAGGCAGGGGTAAAAAACGGAGGCGAGGGATGGAGAAATAGACGTAGGAACAGGTGAAGGCGCTCATTTTGTCCTCCTTCAGATGGCTGTCTATTTTTAATCTAATTAGATTTCAGGAAGATTCTCATCCGCTCGTCTCTGTGGTGTTTCCTTGAGAGAGAGAGAGAGACAGAGAGAGAGAAAGAGGGAGACAGAGAGTGTTTTGTGCAAGAAAATGTGTATCACAGACAAAAAGAAATCAGGATTTTGATTCTTTTTTTATAAAGCATAATAAAATAGGACTTTTATGGCCCGTTTCCACTGAGTGGTACAGTACGGTACAGTACAGGTCGGTACAGGTCACTTTTATGAGGCTTGTGTTTCCACTGCTAAAAGGGTACCAATGGTGGGTGTGGTGTACGACAGAAAGTTTCAGTTGACGTCATTCTCACTCGAGGAAATGTCAAAGTAAAGCTGTACGGGTCGGTCATATATCATATGAGAAGCACTTCTCACAAAACAGAGGCTTTATACACATAAATACTAAATGTTCATGACTAACCTTTCTATGAACATGATTTGATTATAACTGCAGATCAATGATAAAAATATAGCCTACTGTAATATCTGAAATTAAAAATTACAATTAACATTATATATGCAATATATATGAACACATAAAGACCCTTACAGTCTCCGATATGTTACCAATTACAGATTAACTACACACAGCATACATTAAGTCCTTATTTGGATTCACAAATACACAACTTGTAGTTCACAGTCAGTGCAAACCTCTCGTCTGCATCTTAAATCTTCACCAGCATATGTAGCCTCTTGTTAGAAAGTAATTCCTTCATTCAGAGTTCATAATAGTCAAGAAGGTGATGATAATAGTTAAAGATGGCAGTTTGTTTATGTTTTAGATTGCTGAAATCATTTGCTCCTTTGTTTTTTCTGGCTTCTCCTTTGTTTTTTTGCACTTTCCTCTTGCGTTTGTCCGTTTCTGAAAGGATCGGATGTCAGAAGCGATTCAATAATCATGCGCATGTTATTAATATGAGCTCAAGAAGATAGTTTTTTTGAATATGGATGCACACGAGAGCTCTCTCTAGAAAGTGAAACTGCTCGCGCTTATTACGGCCTTGTAAAACAAAAACAGGCCAAGGCAGATTTTATTCTTCATGGCTTTGTGGCTGTACATTAAGACAACCACAAGGTTTGTTTGAGCTCAGGTCGATCATGCCTTGCTCTTATATGTATATAGTATTACGATGTAATGTCTCGGCTGTGTTTTTAAAAATGCACCCCCCCCCACCCCGAATTATTAAACCTCCTGTATTTTTTCCCTCAATTTCTGTTTAAGTTTTTTTCAACACATTTCTAAACATAATAGTTTTAGTAACTCATGTCTAATAACTAATTTAATTTATCTTTGCCATGATGACAGACAGATAGATAGATAGATAGTTGATAGTTGACACTGACAATATGTAGACAGATAGATGCACAGACAATCAGACATATCAATAAATGCATGTACAGATGGATGGATGGATGGATGGATGGATATACAGATGCATAGATTGAAGGACAGACAGACAGACAGAGAGATAGATAGATAGATAGATAGATAGATAGATAGATAGATAGATAGATAGATAGATAGAGAGAGAGAGAGAGAGAGAGCCTGCACACACACACACACACACACACAAACACACACACTGACATGATTGTAAATGAATCATTGTACATATACTGATGATCATAGTTTTTATTACTATTTTATCCTAAAATGTTGATTGTTAAATGTACAGTTTATTCTGATCTATTTTTGTATTGATTTTTATATGATATGTTGAACAATAATATAATATATTCAATATTAATGTGGTATATTGAATAATATGATGTATTGTTAAAATTTTATATGATGTATTGTTAAAAATATAAATATTACCTCTTTATTTTACTACTATTTACTGTGTGTACTGTTTTTTTTTATTACATATGTATGTTACTTTTTATGTAAACTAACTGCTTTGGCAATACATTTGTAACATTTGTCATGCCAATAAAGCAATTATTGAATTGAATTTTGAGAGAGAGAGAGAGAGAGAGAGAGAGAGAGAGAGAGAGAGAGAGAGAGAGAGAGAGAGAGAGAGAGAGAGAGAGAGAGATAAACAGACAGATGGACAGAGAGATAGATAGATAGATAGATAGATAGATAGATAGATAGATAGATAGGTTAATTAGGTTAACTAGGCAGGTAAGAGTAATTGTGCAAGTTATTGTATATCGATGATTTGTTTTGTAGACAATCGAAAAAAATTAGCCTAAAGGGGCTAATAATTTTAACCTTAAAATGGTTTTTAAAAAGTTTAAAAACTGCTTTTATTCTAGCCGAAATAAAACAAATAAGACTTTCTGAAGAAAAAAAAATATTATCAGACATACTGTGAAAATTTCCTTGCGCTGCTAAACATCATTTGGGAAATATTTAAAAAGGAAAAAAAATTCAAGGGGTAGCTAATAGTTCTGACTTCAACTGTACCTTTTGACTGTGGAAACGACCATAAAAGCGTTCTGAACCGAACCGTACCATACCACTCTCATTAGGTAGAATATATATCAAAATATGTTTCATTTTGTTACCCTATAGGTAAAATTAAATACAAATGTATACATAAAAATACAAAACAAAACAAAAAAAGACTAGAATAAACTAAATGAAGTAATGAATCTGACTGTATTTCTCTGGAAATCATACTGGGTCAAAAATGCATTGTGGAAGTAAGGAAATATTTATAAGACATAAATACATAAATCAAACAAAGCTAAATGCAATTAAAGCTAAAAAAATCATTTTGCATTAATTAATTTCACAAATTAATTTCACACTAATCAGGAAAACAGAAGCAATGGAAGCTAGGTTTGAAACAAACTTGCATTCTGTACAAGCATTGGTAATAATGTAAGGTGTGATCCAATTTATTTGAAGGGAAACTGAAACTAGCAGCATGTGGGAAATGTGCAGACTAGATACTCAAGTGTCTCTTTGACTTTCGGCACTGATCCAAATGTGTGGGCCTTTGCATATTTAGCTTGATTGACATTAATCATGGCATTTAAAATGCAGTATGTCTACATGACACAATTAATTTATATTAAAAAGGATGGTCATAAGAAACCTAATCTACCAAGATATATTTTCGTCAGTTTTTTTTCCCAAACACATAATTTGGCATTGTGTCAACTCAAAAAGACCTGGATTCATGTAGTTTGAGTGATGAGGATGTTTATGAAGGCTTTCTGTCTCTTTCTTTCTTACATTACGTCGGCTCAAAGGAGCTTTGCAGGGCTTTTGACCCACCTTTCTTCCTCACTTCCCTCCCCCTCGCTCTCACTTTTCCTTGTCCCACACGCTCTCTGCAGTCAGCACTTCTGCCTCTGATGGATAGCAGTGTTAGCGGTTAGCATTAGCGTTAGTATTACAGTCTGAGTTCCTGTAAGAGGTCCATCTCTTTGCCAGAGCTCACTGCGGTTGTCTTAGCTCTATTCGCATACATAAATCCCTAGCTGCGTTTTCAGATATAGGTATCATTTAGAAATGGCCTGAATTTATTTTATTTTATTTTGTTGAACAAAAGTTGTGTGGGTGTTTTAAAATATTGTACACATTTTGCTGCAATGTTGAATGCAGCTACAGTTTTTTTTAGGGATAAGGTCATTTTTTATTATTATATATGTTGTTTACTGCCATATCTTGGTTATTTTTGTGAATGATTGTGCAGCTAATCTCTCTTTTTTCTCTTCTTTTTTCTCCCCAGACCTTTATAGTGCTTAACAAAGGAAAAACAATCTTCCGTTTCAGTGCCACGCCCTCATTATATATCATTAGTCCTTTTAACCTGTTCAGGCAAATAGCAATTAAAATTTTGATACACTCATATCCTTTTCAATGCTTCAAACTTTGACCATGTGTTTGTGGTTGTTCTTGCTGAAACCTCGGTTGTTCTCGCTGTGATCTGTGTCTGTCTCACTGAGAGCTGACTACCATGCTTTGTAGGATTTTTGTTACATTCTGTTTCAGATTATGTGATTTAACCTTTTCTCAAATGTTAAACTCAGTGATAGTGATAGTGCTGCCTGAAGTAATTTAAAAAGCATTAATCATGGAGATTGATAACACACTATTACTTCCTCATGTAAAGTGTTATCCCTTTTACAGCATGTTCTCAGATTTACCTAATTTCTTGGTATAAGTGTTCCATCATAGCTTTGATATCTGACTAATATTCATGACATCACTACAGGATTTCCTTAACTAATTCTTACAGTTTTCAGCATGATCATCATGTGTACAATTTTGACAAATTGTGTCTTCATGACATTCAGCAATCCTCCAGAATGGTCCAAACAAGTAGAGTAAGTATTCTATTCTATTCTATTCTATTCTATTCTATTCTATTCTATTCTATTCTATTCTATTCTATTCTATTCTATTCTATTCTATTCTATTCTATTCTGGTGTATATTTGACTCTTATTGCTTATGAGAGACAATAAGTATTACCGTTCATAATTTTCAGAGGTTTATTTATATTGGTAGTACATTCTTAAAAAATACTCAATATTGATGGAACAGTTCCATTGCACTGATCCTTCTTCAGATTTCAGTATTTAGAACAACACAAACAAAACAATACATATGGTTCTTTTATTAATTGTAAGTTCTGCAAGGAATCACAAAAAAGCTTCTTCTATGGCAGATTTTAGTTTCACACTGAACAAAAAGAAAAACTGCTGTAAAAAGAACCAACTTTTTTGCATGCTCACAACATAGAAACCGAATGACTTCTGTAAATGGAATTAAGGGTGTGTTTACACCTTTAGGTTGGATCTCCTAGTGCAATCTATTTCAACAACGTTCCTGGAGGACCACCAGCTCTGCACATTTTCCATAGCTGTGTCACAAATCGCTTACTTATGCACTATTCTACGCCATTTTCTAGTATAAATAGAGTCAGTAGTGCGTTCACACTGAAAGCTCTAAAAATATAGATTTTTTTATGATTTTTTTTTCACTATATCTTCCTTTCTGTTAAGCAGAAGAAAGAAACTCAAACAGGTTTGATTAAATAGTGGCAAAATTTGGATGTATGGGCGAACTATCCCTTTAATATGTCTGCCCAGTAAGATGCTAGAATAAAATTGTAAGGTAACATCATACTGTATATGTTGTCTTTGCTGTATCCAGTACCACAATACATTTTGACTTTTAGTAAAAAAGGTGGATGAAGCAGAAGAACTATTTAGAATAAACTAGCATTCAATTTAATACAAAAAGTATCTACAAAATATTATAAAATGCACATTACCTGCATGTTTGAACTCATTTTATCGCTCTATGTCAGGTACACCTTCACAGGAATCTACACTTTCGAGTCTCTCACAAAGATTGTGGCTCGAGGTTTCTGTATAGACGACTTCACCTTCCTCAGAGACCCCTGGAACTGGCTGGATTTCATGGTCATCTCTATGGCGTAAGTATGATAATGTCCTGTAAATTAAACAAGGAAATATTTTGATAATGATACACTTTAAATCTGTTTTTGCATGCAATGGTTGCAGGTTCATAAAACTCTTGTGTGCCGCATTTAACATTAGGCTTTAGTGGCGCTTCAGTTGGTGCCAGCTACTTTAGTAAAATTCTAGATAAAAAATCATCGCTTCAATTTTTGAAGTTACACATGCACTCACATCTCAAACAAGCAAGCTTCTTGTGATTGCTGCATATTTTTACACAGACTTTCAGATTTTTTTTTGGAAAATTGGCAGTGGTGGAAAGAGTAAAATCCTACGCAAGTAAAAGTACCATTAGTAGAATAAAAGTATCTGTTAGTTTCTACTCAAAGTATGAGTAAAAGTAACCCTTCTAAAAGTAGTGAGTATGCTACACTGAGAAAACAATTCCATCTTATAACCTGCAAATTAAAAATGTAGCTTAAATAAATGGTATTTTTAAATGGATGTTTGTAAGTTAAAGTTAAATTATTTGCCATTCATTGACTATAAATTTAAATGTGAGATTAATTTAACATGAGATCATGTTACATTAATATATTCAACTATAATAAGCTGTCAGAAAAGCGGAATGATAAGTATTACATGTGGAGCTAAATCTGTGTAACCTTATATTGAGTTCAGACTGCACGATTTTCAAAGTAGTCGTGTCTCGGATGTTTTCACACTGCATGACTATCTGGGTTAGCGCTTCGTCGCTGCTTTGCATACACTGCAAGATAGATTGGCGACAGGGGGTTTCACACTGCATAACTTTAAAATAGGAAAATAACCCGCAACTTTGTCCAAACTACATTTTACAACCAAACACGTGTGACAGAAACAAAGCAAGATCACGTAGTATATTTCTTGTTATTAGCTACATAATGAGGAGCCTTTAGTGGGGTAGAAAATGTACTTATTTTGCTCACCTGGCTTTGAAGGGAACTTACAATTTCCCCTAAACTTTTTTCTTTTTTAACCCAGTTGTGGTATTGCTCAGATGAATTTTAACTTCTCCAACTTCCCGCTGGCCTGCAGATATAAATACTAGTGTATGCTGCTCTCTCATTGGCTGTAGGTAATCGTCAATGTTATTTTCAATCAGAACACATTTCACACTGCATGATTTGAATCACCGACAGGTCCAGATATTTAGCATTTAGCATGCTAAATATCTCACGGGAACCTTGGCTCAGTTGGCGTTTCTTTGTGGAGTTTGCATGTTCTCCTTGCGTTCGCATGGTTTTGCTCCGGGTGCTCTGGTTTCCCCCACAGTCCAAAGACATGTGGTACAGGTGAATTGGGTAGACTAAATTGTCCCTAGTGTATGAGTGTTTGTGTGTTAATGTTTACCGGAGATGCGTTGTGGCTGGAAGGGCATCCGCTGCGTAAAAACGTGCTGGATAAGTTGGCTGTTCATTACGCTGTGGTGACCCCGGATTAATAAAGGGACTAAGCTGACAAAAAAATAAATGAATGAATATCTCATGGGTGTTGTCGACTCATTGGCAATTCTCTCAGATCGCGTCTTTGATAGTTAACACTGTGTGATTGTTACACGGGACCGAGCACCGATTTGCCTGTGATTTCAGACTTGTTAAGATTTCAGATTTGCTTGCGATTGTTTTTTAAAAACCTGTCGTCGAGTCAAAATCAGGGCTAAATCATGCAGTCTGAACTCAGCATTAGGGTCAAAATCAAAAACATATATGACAATATTGATAATTATTATGCACAAAGAATCCTAACTAACAAACTGGAAGTGTCCAGCAGTTGGTGCAGCAAACCAAGTGCATGCAGCACTGATAGAATACTTATAAATTGTGCATGTGTTTAAAAACGTAACATTCTGTAGTGCATTTAGTTATTGTTTATGGCTATTTGCCGATTTTATTCGTCATACAGTAACCGTTCTTCATCTTCTTGTTATACAGTCTAAACAGTCTGTAAGTTCTTGCTTGTAACAATTTTAATGTATTTAACAATTTTACAATTTTATTTTAATTTTAATGATACTGTTAGTTTTCACACTCTACATTTATAAAATGCTGCATCTTTAAAGCGTGTGTGTTTTGAGGTTGGTCTTTCAGATGCAATTTTTTTATGTGTGATTTGATTGGACGGGAATCACAAGATTATTCTACTTAGCCAATCACCATACACTGTAAAAAAATATCTGTAAATTAGCAGCTTTCCATATAATGTGATTCCTGTGTTTATTTAACATTTTTCCGTGCTCATATAGGCTTTTGGATTGCATTATGGGACCTTGATCTTTCTTCTAACAATTTTTAATCTTCAACAGTTTGAAAAATTACTTTTCTTAACATTTTTAATAGTTTAAAGTGATCTATTGTCTGGTTTGGTGTTGTATATTATGGTGCAAAAACCATAAACTGACATTACATTTTTTGTTATTTTACAGACAGTTTCTTGTTTTTTTTTTTCTAAATGGAATACTAGAAAGTCTATAAAAGCTGTAGAGTTGAATTTAAGACATCAAAATTCGACAGATTAGTAATTAACATCCCATAATGTAGTTCACAATCATAAACATGCACAAAATATATACTTTTATATTTCTTTTATTTCTACTTCAATGTTTTCTATATAATTTTTTTTTACAGTGAAGATAAGAAAAAATAAAAGAAGGAAAATGTGCAGTGTAAATATCGATAGAACTAAACATAAACTCAGGTAAAAGTGCACATTTTTAAGACTACCTTTTTCAAGTACAATTCCAGAGAAAAAGTAGTCAATTACAGTAATTAGCTTGTTTGTAGTTCGCTTCTTTACACCACTGCTGGTAGATCATAAGCTACTGACCATATCATTGAAAGTGCATGTTAACACCAGACGGAAATCCTTGAAAATCAATAATCAATCAACACCATGACCTCTGTTTAGGTCATAGGATGGCTTTTGAGGCCTGATGTCTATGCTTGCGCAAAACAGTGTGTATGTGGGTGTTGAAAAGCGACAGAGGCTCTTGTGTTTTGCCTCTCATTGCTGGCGGATGGGAGTTCAGTGCTCAGAGATGTCAATGTCTGTGCTTATACTTCATACATGTCTATCATAGCTTTCTTTCTTTCTGAGCTTTGATTCATCTGACCATCTTTCTCTCCCTGTCTGCATTCATCCATTTCTCTGGAGGGTGGCTATGTTATTTTTATATAGGACAACATTTATGTCTAAAAAGAAATTCATGTTAAATTGAGAAAAGCAGAAAAGAGTGTGTTTTCTAGTATAAGTTCAACATGAAATGTTGTGAGTATCTCTTTTTGTCAGTAATTGTGTTAATACCTTATTGATTTTACTCTGATGGTAAAGAAATGTTTCAGGTTAAGAATATGTCAGATGGTGTTTGTGATATGCTGAAAATTATTTCAACCTAAGTTTATATAAAATGTAGCATATAACTGTGTATATATTGCCATCAAGTCTATGGGTTAAGGCTTTACATGGGAATAAATGCCACAAGAGTTAAATCCTTACGCTGGGTTCACATTGTGTTGAAATTACTGTAATTACGAGATAGCAGCTCTAAAGATTGTAATTGGAGCCGCTCACGTCCTTGTCTTTAGAAATAATTGGTTTGTAAGGCAGTGCTCATTGTGTCCACCTTTAGATGTACTAATTGAAATGAACATTTTAGAAATATTTCTCTTAGGCATACTATGCAGTTATACGGTTAGAAATACAGTAAAATTATATTTAAAATATTATTACAATTAAATCAAATGTCATTTATTTTTGTAATGGCAATCCTGAATTTTGGCCGAATGTAAACAGCGATTTTTGATTAATCGAATCTGATTAAGGTCATAATCGAACTAAATAAAAATCGAATTAAGACATTTAGAGTATGCCAATTTGAGTGGCATTATTGAAGTGCAGTACAGACATGTAAACACTGCAAACAAACTAATACCGTAGTGTAGGATTTTCCATGCATTTTGTAACAGAATAGTGTATTCACACTTATAGTCTATACACACGGCTGTTTGACACTATTCTCTGCACTTACTGAGTCAGTAAAGGACGACAGACACTTGCATCGCAAAATGCGAAGGTTTTTTTCCCATACGAGGTGCTGTGTCAAATTCCATTAAAACAACACTGTTCTAGCAGTTCATACTCGCATTCAATATCTCGTTTGTGATGGGGGAAATGCGTGAAATGTTCCTGATTGAAAGTGAAAGTGCCAAACTACAGTTAAAGTCGACAAATTAAAAATGAAACATCCAAAATGACATGAAACTCTGGAGGAAATGTGGATAGCGCAGGGAAGCAATGATGTAATCGAATTATGTGCCATTTATAGACCTTTTTGAGGAATGTAAACAATCACATTGGTCCATTAGTATTTCCTATATTCATTCATTTTCTTGTTGGCTTAGTCCCTTTATTAATCCGGGGTCGCCACAGCGGAATGAACCGCCAACTTATCCAGCAAGTCTTTGCCTCGCCCCTATTTCCTGTATTACATTTTTAATTTCCATAGCTTTCAAAAATCCAAAAAGGTCCTCTTATTGCAAAATAATTTTATGATAGCTTTTTAATGTTAAAATGTGATTAAATTGCCTCTTGTTACAGTTACCAAATAGTTTGACAAGCAGGAAATGTTCATGGGCCAGTGACATCACCACATTGAAATGGTCTATAACATACTAAACGGGATCATGAAAGGAACATTAAAAAAAAAGCAACTCATGTAAACACCTTACTCATATTAATTTCTTGTTCAGATTAAGGTAAATAAGTTGATTACTGATGTCCACGTAAACTTAGTCAATGATTACATGTATAACTGAAGCGGCAATGAACAGCATTTATCAAAAGCTGATGTCTTTAGTCATCCTTGAATAGAGGTACTCCCTGTGTGTCAGTTTCAACAAAGATATTAAGTTCATAGTTTTAAATGTGTCAATAAAGGTTTTGGTGCTTAAAGGGGTATTTCACTAAAAATGAAAATTCTGTCATTACTCACTCTTGACTTGTTCCAAACAAGTTTGAGCTTCTTTCTTCTGTTGAACACACACAAAAAATATATTTTAAAGAAAGATGAAAAGCTGTAACCTTTGACATTAGGGCTGCACAATATATCGTTTCGGCATCGATATCGCAATCTGTGCATCCACAGTGGTCACATCGCATAGAAATGCAATGTTAAGTTGGCTTTGTTGAGTGTAATTTTTACATTTACTTATACAAAACCGGTGACACGGTGGCACAGTGGGTAGCACCATCGCCTCACAGCAAGAAGGTTGCTGGTTCAAGCCTCAGCTGGGTCAGTTGGCGTTTCTGTGTGGAGTTTGCATGTTCCCCCAGTGTTTACATGAGTTTCCTCCAGGTGCACAGTTTCGCCCACAAGTCTAAAAGCATGCGCTATGGGTAAATTGGGTTAGATAAATTGGCCGTAGTGTATGTGTTTGAATAAGAAAACCATTTCTGTAAAATTGTTTTTTTTTAGCCGTAGTGAAACTAGACATTAACAGTCTTTTCTCAACTAATGTAAAGTTATAAAGAGAATCATCATTCAGCAACATAACGCAGTGATCAAGATCAAGGTGCAATGTTGTGATAATTTTAAGTACTTAAACTACATGTTTTCAGAATTTGGATGCGACCAAACAGTCCCAAAACATATGCAAAAAAAGAATCTTTAGAATTATTGTTATACAGACTGCAATTCGGATTTCTGATAAATATTTATAACCACTTTAGGGTGAGTAAATAGTGAGTAAATTTTCATTTTGGATGAAATATTCCTTTACTATGTTTGCGGAAACCATTTTTAATTTATTTTTAGTTGAACTATTTTGTAACATGATACATTTATTCAGATGAATTTAATAAAAAAATATATATACATATATAAACATATAGTATTATTGTACACAGAGGTTTGGGGTTAGAATAATTTTAAAACGTTTTAAAATAAGCTCATCCTGCTCACTGAGGCTGCATTTATGAAATTAAAAATATAAATTGTAAAATTGTGAAATGTTAATGCAAAAGTAGTTCATATATTAATTGAATAATTTATTCCAGTGATTTTAAAGATTACTTAAAGATTAAGTAAAAGATTTCTCCAGTCTTCAGAGTCACATGATCTGAAAATCTTCCCCAAATACTCTGATGGTCCTGTATCAAGATGCCCACAGAAGTATTCAGCAACCAATGTGACTAATTATGAATTACACCTTTAAGTGAGATTGTCTTGCAATCAAAACATTTTAATATTGGTCTGAAACTTGTAATTGCAGTAATTCTGAAATGAAAAGGGAACCTGTAAAATTATTTTGTGATATGCATTTACTCATTTGATCTTCTGAATCACTTTTTTTTTCATTGCATCTCTTGTCCTCTCCACCCTGTCACTCTCTCTCTCTCTCTCTCTCTCTCTCTCTCTCTCTCACTCTCTCTCTCTCTCTCTCTCTCTCTCTCTCTCTCTCTCTCTCTCTCTCTCTGGTAACTATGTTGCGATCCATTCTGCAGGTATATTACAGAGTTTGTAAACCTAGGCAATGTGTCAGCTCTGCGCACATTCAGGGTGCTGAGGGCTTTGAAAACTGTTGCTGTGATTCCAGGTAAGTCCAGCATCCATCAGGGCCAACAGAGGGCGCCGCTCGCTGTCTCTTTCTTCACGCTCCTGTCTCTTCCTTCCTCCTCCGTTCGTTTCTCTCTCTCTCTTCTCCCGTTAGACAGGCTTTGCGTGATGTCTTCCTCCCAGTTCAGTGGTGGTGCTGGTGATAGTGCTGTGTCGTACGTGTTGTGGTGTAGTGCGTGTGTGTGTGTGTGTTGTGTCACGGTGTTTGTTCTGTGTGTGATCCTCCCTTGTTGCAGATATGTAACAGAGTTTGTGGACCTGGGGAATGTGTCAGCCCTGAGAACCTTCAGGGTTCTACGAGCTCTCAAAACTATTTCTGTCATACCAGGTGAGAACGCGTTTAAACACGAAGGCTGAGCTGCTTACCACGCCACCGCAAACTCTTATTATTACCAATATTACATACGACTGTTGCTATTTTTTTCCGTTTGTTTTCTTTTGTACTTGACTTGCTGTACTTTTTTCCGAGAGGATGCTGCAGGACGAATACTTTCAGTTGTTTTGTTTGTTTTAATAACCAAACGATCAAAAATGGTAGCGATACATTTTTGATAGGCTTTGCAGTCTGCAGTCAAATCACTGATGCCAGAAAAATTGCATTCCCATTCAGTAATCTGAGTTTTTAATTATACCACAAAACACATTCTTTGCAAATGTTGGCTGTCGTAAAAAAAACAGCGGTGGAAAGCCCTGAAATATGCATTTAGCTCTACTGGAAAATCCATATTAATATGTGTTAGTTTTTCCCCCAAAATGAGAATGTTGTCATTATTTACTCTCACCCTCATGTCATTACAATAACATCCTACACTGTAAAAAATGCTGGGTGTCACACAATTCCTTCATTTTGTCCCAACCCAAACCGATTAAGTTAATTGGTAAGTTAATTGTTTTTTTTTTGTCTTTAATGTAAGTGGATTGATTTGTCCCCCTCAAAAAATTAACAATTGTGTTGTTTCAACTACTTTTTAACAAGAAGTTTGAACGAGCAGCAAAAGTCATTTTTAAGTTAATAAGGGAACACCCAATGATAAAAAAAGAGGTTTCTGTTCCTACACTAAAAGCTTCGTCAGCCAAAAATTTGGAGTTCTAGATTAATTGAACCGTTTGATCCAAGCCATCTTTAGAGACATGATTGCTTAATAACAGATTTAGGCCTTTATTCATTGATCATCAAACTATATTTACATTATCCCAATTTGGCCACAGAAGCTCAAGCATGCTTGCTTGACTAGCGGAAACCTATGAGGTTTGTTCTCTTGCAGGTATGGATGAACTTCTGTGTGGACCCTTTTCAAAATTCTGTTCTGACGCAATTAACAGTCATCAGCATCTAAAATCCTTTAAAGTTTTTAATGTTTAGATTATTATTTTTTTATCTGCTATCAGATTTTTCCCCCTTTTTCTGAAAGTTATAATAACATCGTAGTGGAGTTTTTTTATTATTTAAGTAAATAAGATTGTAAAAAATATATTTGTTGTATTCTCCCATTCACTGCTCTCTAAGTTTTCCCAACTATGATGACTTCCGCTACTAAGAAACCTGGAAATGTGAAAAAGGGTCTATTGCTGATGATACACAAGGCAACATTTTGAGCAATGTTGCTGGGCAACTTTCCAGACATGGGGTCACTAATCAGGGCAATTGGTTACAAATACAACATTTTTACCCATTCTTAGTAGAGCCAAGTAATAGCACTTTACAAAATTGCCTGGTCACATTACCAAAAAATGTTGCCCCATGTGTCATCATTTGTTCACTGATCACTGTTTAAATAGGAATAAAACTCTAAATTCTAAATGAAATCTGTTCATCATGTAAACTGACCATATCTCCTATAAGAAGACAGTTTGTAACAAAATGAGGGTTAGTAAATATGACAGTTTATTTAAACTGAAGTGTTTTGGAACATATAACTGTAATATGAAAACAGGTGGACCAACAACTGCTGGGGAACTGACTAAAATTAGCATACCAACTTAATCAAGGTTAAAGTTGGTCAAGCTGGATTGTTTCTGGTCCAAGATGGCTGAACAGATCAGTTAAAAACTTTCTTTTATGTTTCAGACACCATTAAACTGGTTTTAATTGTATTTTCCAGTTGAGAATTGCATTTGGTGGTAGTATACAGTTTATAGACTGTATACTACCAAAAAATAAAGGTTCTCTACTGGCATCTGTGGTTCCATGAAGAACCTTCAACACCCATTGAACCTTTTCATTGTATTAAAAGGAAGTGAAATTAAGTTTTTCACAGTACAGTATATTAATAAAATATAATGTATATAGTTTACTGAAAGGTTCTTTGGGAAGCCGAAACTGTTCTTCTATGGCATCACTGCAGAAACCCTCTTTTGTAACCTTTATTTTAAAGAGTGTAGCACTTTGTTACCAGTATATTTGTAGACCGAACTGAGATCTTATTCTCTAAAAATAGGAAAAATATGGACAAACACAATTGCTGGATAAAACGTTTAATTTAGCAATAAATTGAGTGGTTAGATTTAATGCTTAGTTAAAATATATCAATTAAGTATATGTAAAAAAGTGCTGCTTCATGTTCTAGATTCAAAACATCCAGCCACAGAGCTGAATGCAGCACAGATGCCTTTGTTGAGTTTTAGTTATAGTATTCTAAGCAGACATCATAAAACTCAACCTTATGGCATCTTAGAGGCATAGCAACATATGTTCATTTCATGGAAAAAAAAGCTGACATAGACTGTGTTCTGATAAACATCTCATCAGCGCTAAAAGAACTTGATGTGTTGCATCATGGAGCAAAGGTTTGTGGGTAGCACACTCACTGAGACTGCCAAGCCTAGTTTGACACATTTCTGCTGCATGATGCTTTCGAAGACACCTGCTTTTTCAGTTTGTCCTTCTTTTATTCTGTTTTTGTATTTTTTTTTTTACCAAATGGCTTTCCTCGAAATTCCGCATCCCTTACACACATGTAAATTTATAAATATATATTTTAGCATTGTTTTTCTTTTTTTGGGACAATTACTGTTTTTTAGCTCCCTCCCTATTCTTATTTCGAAGAACTCGGAGTGGAAAGTAAAACTGAGACACAAGAAGATGCACCAATTGTTACAGCTAAATCCAAAGATCAGGGTTAGTAAAGTTAACCAAGCAAGTTTATATGCACACAGTCACAGCCACTTGTTTTAAACACTCACATTCAGGATAGCTTCTTGTAGCATTTAGATTAGAGAATGACTCACTTATTCACCTGGTTTCTCTCAGCTAAGAGATTAGCTGAGCAAAGAATACGGGTTATGCATTCTCTGGAAGCGACCGATTGGTTGAACAGACATTGACACCATGGTGATGTAGCAAAGATGATGATGATGATGATGTTGCTGCCTTCAGCCTTGGCGTTTAAATGACCTGCATGCCCTTCCTCCCCTTGCCTGTCCTCTCCTCTTCCTCTCTCTGTGTTGGCTCTCTGCATACTGTTTGTGTATGGCGCCGCTCTCTTCAAGCAGTGTCCATTTTGCTGATATGTGTTAAATATTGTATGTGTGTTTATTGCTTAAAGAGTGCTCCTCGTGTCTCTCCAAGGTCCCTACATAACCTGTCCTTAGTAAAGTGCTTATGAGAAAACTGTAAACCTGCACTATTTGGAAATATTCTTTGCATCCAGTTCATTATAATGGCTTAGACTATGATAAAGAGAAAATAAAGAGTGTTTCTTTTCTATGTACATTGATTTTGAATAAAATGCTAAAATTCTAAGATATGGCTCATGTTTAGATTCAAGCATGTCTGGCCAGTGGTGATTATTGATGTGTGGCAGCATAGTTTAATTTATGGTTAATGAAGAGTTTGTTACCAACTAGAAATCTATTAAAAATTATACTAATAAATCAGCAGTTCAGAATTTAATTGTCCACGTTTTGGCTGTAAATAGTTCATGCTCTACTAAACCACTAGCAATTTTTATCTGGTCATGCAGATTTTAAAGTTGAGCTTTGGGTAAAACAGCCATCATGCATGTCACTTTTAAATCAGCCATCAAATCACAATGGAAGAAAAGTGGGACTTCCACTTTGATCAACTGTCATCTTGTACAAAGAACCAACCACAGCAAACTGATTCCAAATTATTATCGCTCTATAGTATGTCGATATTTTAAGTAAGAAAAAAGATCAGCTAAATCATTTATGAAAACATTACTGCAGATAATATGTATAATTTCAATAGTCTCTTAGTTGAAATATACACTGCCCATTCCAAAAGAATTTGCACACACCAACTAATATTTAGTTGAACCCTTAGCTTTGGTTATGGCATGCATTCGCTCTGGCATCATTTTAATATCCCCTGGGTTGCATTAATTTTTGTCCAAGACCTTTTATTGATAATGCGAGTCTTCTTCAGCACATACCAAAGATTCTCAATAGGCTGAAGGTGTGGACTCTGTAGTGGCCAATCTACGTCAAAAAAATAATGTCTCATTCTCCCTGAACCACTCTTATACAATTTAAGCATGGTGAATCCTGGAATTGCCATCTTGGAATATGCTCATGCCATTTGGGGAAAAAATCCATTGATGGAATGACCTAGTCATTTAGTAAATTCAGGTTGTCAGCTGACCTCATTTTTTTAACATAGGCTTATTTTGAAAACTTAGCCCTGTATACATTTCTGGGGAACGTGAATTATGTAGCCAGAAGTACGTATGGCTGCATTTCATTTTTTAAATAAACGCTACAGGGTGGTATAACGCTGTTTTTTTTTGTGCTTACCAGCTGATTACTTACCTCCTAGTGGACAACTTTCCTACTGTTACCAGTTTGTCCAGTTAGCATTTCCATGTATGTCAGTGGACTTGAGACGAGATGACTACGACAACGAGGACAAAAACAGAAGCCAAAAAATAAAATAAACAAGTAAATAACAGGGTGAGAATGTGGTAAAACTTGGTAAAATGAGATGAGGGCTTTTCTTTTTCTGAATTGCGTTTATATTTGTTGGTTGGGTTGAGGGAAGTGGGTGAACAGGCAAATCTGTGCTTTTTAAAATACCATTGGTTGGGTTTAGGGACAGGGGAGGGTGGGTCAGTCGATCGGCCAAAGTCAGTCATTCAAACAGTCAGTCAACAGCGGCCTATGGTGGATTAATGAGAGAACAGTAGGCGCAAAAGAAAAGTTCTCGCTAGAAACATTTGAGATCTCAAAAAGTGTACACAGTGGCCTCTTGTGGATTTTGCAAAAACAAAAACTGCAAAAAACATAGCTTCTGGGACGGATTTGATGGTCTCCAGAAATGTATATAGAGATATGTTTTCAGAATGAGGTTGCCTTCTTTGAGCACATGACATTGCTGAACCTAGACCTGACCAATTGCTGCATCCCCAGGTAACAGCACTGTCCCAGGCTGGTATGATTGGTGCATCACTTCATTCACATGTCTTCTTACCCTTATGTGCTCATCACTCTGAAACAGGGTAAATCTGGACTCATCAGACAACAGGAGTTTCTTCCATTGCCCCAAAGTCCAATATTTATGCTCCCTAGCTAATTGAATCGTAGTACTTGAGTCTGGACTCCAGCTCAAGATGTTTTTCTCTGGTCTCTGACTTGAACCTCTTTGGACTCTTGGTCTTGTTTCAGACTCAAGACTTGACTAGAGTCCTTCTGATAAGTGGTTTTCTTTAACCTACACAGCTGTGCAGCCCTAATCTCTTGAGTTCCCTTCACACCTGCTTTTACTTTCACTTTTAAACATAGCTGTGAGTTCTACCGTTTTATTTTTATAATTCGATTTCACCAAATGGTAAAGGGTGCTTTCACACTAGCACTTTTGGTTTACACCCGGGTTCATTTGACGTCAGAGTACGGTACGTTTAGCTAGTGTGAATGTGTCTTCTGAACTCGGGTGTGCACCCATGAACCATACCCGTTCATGCAAACTCTGGTCCTGGTGACAAGCGGAACTGAGCCAGGCCAAGCACAGTGATAAGGTCTACTTATCTCCATCAAAAACAGCTTCTGAAGACATTGCGTTATGTTCTAAACGTTTTTGATATTTTTGCAGCAGATAGACACAAGTCGCTGTATGTATGTCTAAAACCAAAAGATTCTGTAAAAATGACCTCGATGTGCAGACATCTTTTGATTTTAGGTGTCCGTCACCTAGCAACAGCCGTACACACAACAGCAGCTCGATGATACAAGTTTACCGGGGTTTAGAAGGAAAAAAGACAGTGTGAACACAAACCAACTGAGAAGGTGGCAATGGAGGACAATCGATCTTGGTTATGGTCCAGGCAATTGAACCAAGTGGGAAAGCCCCCTAGGTGATTGTCAATATCGGATCATTCAAGATTTTCTCTTCCTCAAAATTTATGTTTCCGCACTATCTTTCGAGTTTTAAATAATGAGTTGGACAGCTTTTAGCCCAGTTTTAGTTCTTTGAGCAATCTCCTGTTAACTTTGTTTGATGTGTGCCAATAATTTGACCCTTCTGCAACCGATGAACATCTTTTCCACAACCACAGTGTCTTCCAACATGACTGTTTAAGAAATAAGAAGCTACTTTCAGCATTAGTTAGGTTAAAATAACTTGTTACCAGCTGAAACAATCATCCATGCAGTAATATCCAATGGGAGGCTTTTAGCTATTTGTTTAGTTAAATCCAGGTGGTGACCTTTTTGGAATGGAAAGTGTATATAGAGTTATATAATGCACTTATAAAAATAATTATTTAATATAATGCCCTTCAGTGGGGTTTTTAAGTCATATGATTGTAAAATGAAGTGCTGCACTTATTTAGTACATGCTTCACACAATTAATATGTATATGCTGATGGCTGATAACTATAGGTACTAGCCATAAACATACCCCTGAAACTAACCTTAGCCCATGCTAGGTATCCTATATATAAATCATCACTTTCTTAGATAAGGACACTGTTAATACAAGTGAAAATTTAAAAGTAAAGATAAGACTCATAAAAAAATGTGTAATAACTTATACTGTAGCAAAAACCTAGAGCAATATTGGAATTCTATTGTGATGTACACACTTTTTATTATTTGTAACCTTTCTTTTTGAAGCATTATTTTTCAGTTTACTTAATGAACTGGTAGCAGTTATATTATAATAATAAGTCAAATTCTAAATTGGTGTAATATATGCAAATTTAGATGGTTAACATTGTGCTTTATTTCTCTGAGATTGAGACAGTTTGTGTACAGTTGCTCTGAGGACGGGGGAGACTCTTTAAGCTGCTTGTTTAATGTATATCATGGTTTTATGTGAACAAATACATGATTATTTTTTATGATGCATTTATGTATGTGTGAAAAAAAGTTAAGGTAACCAAATATGTAACTTTGTTATTGCTTGGGTATCTTCTTATACTGGAGCACTTGTTTTTCCCCTTTTAATATATTCTTTACCATTCAAATGTGTTGGGGCATTAAGAGATTTTTTGTTTGATCGTAAAACATTTTTTGATGGATTACATTTGTAAAACGTGACAGTAAATACTTCTGTTTTTCAAATAAATCTTTTAAATGTTTATATTTATAATAAAAATTAGTCAGTCTCTATAAAAATATTAATAATAAAAATGTTCTTCAGCATATTAAAGTGGTTGCTGAAAGACCACTAAACCTATTTATTGATGCTCAAAAATGTGCTATGACATTCCAGGAATATCTTACATTTTAATATAAATATTAAAATGCTAAATTGTTCTTAATTTGTAATAATATTTCACTGTGTTACTTTTGAATATGTGATATGTTTTTGGCCCTGTTTACACTGCCTGTTAAATGTGACCCAATTCAGATTTTTTGCTCATATGTGAAACAGATCGGATCCGTTTCTATGACCGTGTAAACACACAAACACACACAAAAAATTCCATGCATTTAGATATTCAGAGATCGGTTTCAGGCCTCCTTCATATGTGGAAATAAATCAGATATAAATCATATGTCTGACAATACGACTATCAGATCAGAGTTACTGAGGCATTCCGTTTTGTATGTCATTAAACTTGCGACAGTGTGGTACTGCTCTGCGGTTTAATGACGTAGAAGGAAGAGTGTGCACATCCTAATATTTCAGACCCACTGCTCCTCATTAAAGCCTGCCACATTTTGCTTCCACCAGACCTGAGACCTCTCCCGTACCCACAAATTCCTCTGAATGGTGGAGGTTACCATTTATAAACGATAGGCGCAAACTGCGATGACAGCACTTTTCCTCCTGCCCCGCCTCAAAATCATTTTAAAGTTGGGCAAACTTCGCATATTTTGCAGAGCTAAAAGCAAGACAGTTTCTTCCGTTGTGGCTAGTGTGGCTGCTAGAACCTGCCTTTATGCATGCGTGACATCGTAAATTGTATAGCAAGTGTAAACACATGAATTGGATATGGATCACAATTTAAAGAACGTTTAAACGGACAGGCTTAAAAATCAGATATAGGTAACAAATCGGAATTGGGCATCAAGACCTGACAGTGTAAACGTGGCCCTAAAGACTGCTTTCGAAAAAAAAAAACATCTTAATGGTCCCAAATCTTTGAATGTTTGACTAGTGAATTATTGTAATAATCAATCTGAAACGTCTGTTAAAAAACAGAATAAAATAACCATTTATTGTAGTATTGTATTGAGGGAACATTTTGATTAGATGACATGAAGTATTTTCCAGTAAGAGTATATTATGTACAAAGTATAAGTGTATAATATACAACAAATAAATAAATATTCTGCGTGTAGTGAGTGTGCTCATATTCTTTTTAAATGGCTTTGTGTGTGTGTGTGTGTGTGTGTGTTCCTGCGCAGGTATGAGCATTATCAGGTTAAAAACATTCCCTGCAGACTGTATATTCCTCGATGTGTTTGTCTCCTCTTCCACTCACAGGGCTGAAAACCATTGTGGGAGCTTTGATCCAGTCAGTGAAGAAGCTGTCGGATGTGATGATTCTGACTGTGTTTTGTCTGAGTGTGTTCGCCCTAATCGGTCTCCAGCTGTTTATGGGTAATCTTCGGCAAAAATGTGTCATCTGGCCAGTCAATTCAACAGAAACCTACCTGGCCAACGGCAGCAAGGGTTTCGACTTTAACGAATACATCATGAATGATAGTAAGTTGAAAAAGCTTTGACTACTTTGGGATCAAACAGCTGCTTTATCGCAATTCAATTTGAGTCTCTTATTCTATACACACAATTAAAAACTTTTGTGTGTGGGAGAAATAATTGTGAAATGCATTCAAATCTAAAATGACGTCCCTCACTATTACCAAGAAAACTATTTTAAGAAACTGGAAACATTTGATAATCACTCTTAACCTCCATCTCCTTATAGAATATATTACATTCACACATAAAAATACAGTGGGGGAAATAATTTCAATACGTAAGTTTTTCTAGAAAACATTTCTAAAGGTGCTATTGGCTTAATATTTTCACCGGATGTTGATAATAACCAAAAAAATCCATACATGAAAAGAAAACAGATCGAATTCGTTTAAAAATGAAGTTATGTGTAATAAAATGAAATGACACAGAAAAAAAATGTATAGAACACATGAAGAAAAGGAGGTGTAGAAAGGCAGTGAAAGCCCAGACAGCAGCTGAAATCTCTCAGTAGTTCTACTGCAACCCTCTGCCTTTCCTCATTGTAAATTGAAATATGCTGCTTCATTCCAACATCTACATAAGCAGAATGATGAAGATGAAACCAGAATGGACATTTCAGCAAGACAATAATCCAAAACAAAGCCAAGGAAACTCTTAAATGCTTTCAGAGAAAGAAAACCAAGCTGTAGAATGGCCCAGCCAATCACCTGACTTAAATCCAATATAAAAAATACCAAATAAAGATCAGATTTGATAGACGAGATCCACAGAACCAACAAAATTTTAATACTCTATTTAACTCTGTGGAAAAACTCACACCTCAGCAATGCATGTGACTTCACATGAGTCATATTTAAGCTGGCATCAACTAAAAAGACTAAACTTAGTCAAATAGACAGAACTTTTTCTTTTTTTTAGCTATTAAACACAGAGAGGGAAAGGTTTTGAACATGTCATGTATTTCCTGGGAAAAATATTTTAAAGGAGCTGTTGACAGAATTTGACGACACAGACTTAGGCAAAAATCCAAACAATACAAAAGAATGTAAAAAATCTTGATGGTTCTGTGGGTTTTGTCTGTCCAAACTGATCTTTATTTTGTATTCTCCCTTGGATTCAAGTCAGGTGATTGACTGGGCCCTTCTACAGCTTGGTTTCTTTCTCTGAAAGCATTTGAGAGTTTCATTGGCTGTGTTTTGGATCATTGTTTTGCTGAAATGTCCATTCTGGTCTCATCTTCATCATCCTGATAATGTTGATGTGGGACTAAAGCAGCTGATATTAATTTACACTGATGAAGGGCAGAGGGTTGCTGAAAAAGTACTAAGAGATTTCAGCTGCTGTCGAGGCTTTCACTGCCTTCCTACACCTTTCTTTCTTCATGTGTTTAATATTTTTCTTTTTGTTATTTATGTTATTACACACAACCTAGTTTGTTAACTAATTAGATTTGTTATCTTTTCATATGTGGATTTCTTTGGTTGTTACCAACATCTAGTGAAAATTTCAAGTCAACAGCACCTTTAGAAACAAGTTTTCTGAGAAAAATGGTTACGTGTTGAATACTTATTTTCCACACTGTATGTCCATCTTTACCAGCATCTGGAATCCACTTTGTCAATATCTTAATATATTTCAACTGCCCTCAAACCCACAAACTCTTCCACACACAACCTTGCTTTCTGTCATCATTAATGTTTTTTTTTCTTTATAATATATTTTTATAATGTTTTTTTCTCCTCTAACTCCTCCTTTCCAAATTTAAAACCCATGCACAATTTAGAGATGTATATTAAATGACTACAACACTCACACACTAACACCTCACATACTTACATGCATATACATTTAATCTCAGTTTGTGCTTTAATTTTTTCATGTTTATTGTTAATCCTGCTTTCTGTACTTTGTCTTTATTAAAAAGAAAGAAAATAATAATAATAAAACCTAAAATTTCAAGAGGCCTTTTCAGACATAGTTTTCAGGTTTTTACTAGTCTCTCTTCTCGTTTCAGCAAACTTCTACTTCCTGCCAGGCATGTTGGATGCACTGCTATGTGGAAACAGCTCAGATTCAGGGTAAAGAGTGAAAACATACACCTATAATTATTCAACATTCCCACTACTAAATCTAAATACTAAATGTATTTCATTATTTCAAGTCTGGAAATTACATTTACACATGAAGCTCTATGGGGTGACCATTCAATGTCAAGATATGATGCATTAAAGAAATTGTTAAAGTAAACTCGTTGCCTATAATCATTAAGTAAATAAACTCTTTGCACAATGATAAAAGGTAAGTCAAAGAGTTTCAATGAGAATCAACTTGTTGCTTTTAAGGCAAAGGGCTTACTCAGTTATTTAAAGTAATTAATCATTTTTTACAGTGTGCAGTGTTGGTGGATTTATTTGTGTGTGTTTTTGTAGACGGTGTCCGGAGGGCTATACTTGCATGAAGGCTGGACGCAACCCAAACTATGGCTACACAAGCTTTGACTCCTTCGGTTGGGCTTTTCTTGCTCTCTTCCGACTGATGACACAAGATTTCTGGGAGAATCTGTACCAGCTGGTGCGCATTCATTCCTCTAACGCTTGCTTTTTTATATATACTCTATGTGTTATACTCTATATATACTCTATGTGTTATACTCTATATATGTCTATGTGGTACTGGATGATTTTCTTCTTTTTGTGTCACTTTTCGTGACTGAGTGTGGAGTCGTGGGAGTTGTCGTCTTCATTACATCCTACAGGACTCCTGCAGAAATCATGTTCATGGATGAGCTAAAGTATTTAAAACCTATTAGCATGATAGTTTGAAACAGAATTAAAACGCTGAAGCAATTGCTGATAAGAGGAATTATGATGCAGCAGAGCTTTTATTATGTCAAAATCGACTGCTTCTGGTTCTTCCAGTCTTGATCATATTAAGATAATTTATCATATTAAATACACTTTACATGTTTATAATGCTAATAAAACACACAATATAGTAAATCCTATAAAACTTGGGAAAACAAACAAATCGGAAATCAAGTGTTTCAGACGACATTAGCAAGACAACACAGGACTTATTCCATCTCACTAGTTAACACTAGTAACATTTTTCTAAAATTTGGGAGAATGTAAGCAGACAAGTCAGCAAACTGTTTTTTTTTTTTTTGCTTCAACCCAAAATGGGACTAAAGGTATTTTGAGAAAAACAATTAATAATAGACCCCTTTAAACCAAGTTGGTTCTGTGAGTTTTTATTAATAATCTGAAAAAATCAGCCCTCTGAATTGGATTACATAGTCCAGCACTTTGATACACGCCTGATATTGCATGGATTAAGTAAATTGGATGGTATTTGTGCTACAGTGTTTCAAACAATTACAAAAGCCATGTCCTTCTTTCTCTTAGACTCTACGAGCTGCGGGAAAAACATACATGATCTTTTTCGTTCTGGTGATCTTTGTGGGATCGTTCTACCTGGTGAATCTGATCCTGGCTGTGGTGGCCATGGCCTATGAAGAACAGAACCAGGCCACCATTGAGGAGGCTGAACAGAAGGAAGCGGAGTTTAAAGCCATGCTGGAGCAGCTGAAGAAACAACAGGAGGAGGCACAGGTACACGAATGCAATCATCCAGTTTCATGATATATTCCCTGTGTCCCTGTTTTCTTAAATTAATTCTCAATCCTTTCCATTGCTAGGCCAATGCCATGGCGACTTCAGCAGGTACAGTGTCTGAGGACGCAGTGGAGGACGATGGCGGAGGGCATCTGTCCCGCAGCTCCTCTGAAGTGTCCAAACTGAGCTCCAAGAGCGCCAAGGAGCGCAGGAACAGAAAGAAGAAGTGGAGGAAAGAGCAGGAGGAGAAGGGAGACAGTGAGAAAGTAGTGAAGTCAGAATCTGATGATGGCAGCAAGAGGAGCCGCTTCCGTTTCAGAGACAACAGGCTTGGGCGGAAGGCCTCCATCATGAATCAGGTGAGATTAAGCATAAAACCTCCTCCGCATGAGATCATGTTAAAGGATGTGTATGATCTCTCTGGCCAGGGAAGAATATGTACAGTGAATTTCATGAAGAAAAAGTCATCATTAATATGTTCGTTTAGACTTTAAGAAGTACACTGAAGTGCAAAATATTTGTCCATAGGTTTATTTTCTTAGTTTATTTTGACAAATTAGTCATTTTTGTTGTCATTTTGGAGTAAACTGTGTCATGATTATATGAATATATAGAGAACTTGTTCATTTGATTCTGTTCGAGGGCTTTTAAGCTATTACTTCAACATTCAGTAGATATTTGAGTAGTTGGCATGCCCTGTCTTTGGTAGGAACTATACTGTAAAATTATTTTCAATAATTGTAATAATTATGCATAAAGTTTTTATGTCCTTACTTTAGTTTGTGGTGTATGGAATAATAATATATTTTTACAAATAATTCGTCATACTGCAGTGTAATTAACAATAAGTTAATATAAAAAAACAAATGTTTAACATTTGTACTTTCAATGTACATTTAAATCTACATTTAAATGTAAATTATTAGCATTTAGCTGAGCATACACTCACTGGCCACTTTATTAGGTATACCTTACTAGTACTGGGATAGACACTCTTTTACTTTCAGAACTGCCTTAATCCTTCGTGGCATATATTCAACAAGGTAATATTCCTTGGCTGCACATCCATGATGCAAATATCCCGTTCCACCACATCCCAAAGGTCCTCTATTAGATTGAGATCTGGTGACTGAGGCAGTTTGAGTACAGTGAACTCATTGTCATGTTCAAGAAAGCAGTTTAAGATGATTTGCAAGATGGCATGGCGCGTTATCCTGCTGAATGTAGCTATCAGAAGATTGGAACACTGTGGTCATAAAAGCAGGGACATGGTCAGCAGCTATACTCAAATAGGCTGTGGTGTTGACATGGTACTAATGGACCCAAAGTGTGCCAAGAAAATATCCCCCAGACCATTACATCATCACCACCAGCCTGAACTGTTGATACAAGGTAGGATAAATCCATGCTTTCATGTTGTTGATGCCAAATTGTGACCTTACTATCCGAATGCCGCAGCAGAAATCGAGAATTTTGGACTAGGCAACGATGTTTTTACAATCTTCTATTGACCAATTTTGGTGAGCCTGTGCGAACTTCTGCTTCAGTGTCCTGTTCTTAGCTAACAGGAGTGCCACCCAGGGTGGTCTTCTGCTGCTGTAGCCCATCCGCCTCAAGGTTGAACGTGTTGTGCGGTCAGAGATGCTCTTTTGCGTAACTCTGTTGTACTAAGTGGTTATTTGAGTTACTGTTGCCTTTCTATCAGCTCAAACCAGTCTGGCCATTTTCCTCTGACCATCAACAAGACATTAGCACCCACAGAACTGCCGCTCACTGGATATTTTCTCTTTTTCGGACCATTCTCTGTGAACCCTTGAGATGGTTGTGCATGAAAATCCCAGTACATCAGCAGTTTCTGAAATACTCAGACCAGCCCATCTGACACCAACAATCATGCCACGATCAAAGTTACTTAAATCACCTTTCTTCCCCATCTGATGCTCGGTTTGAACTGCAGCAGATCGTCTTGACCATGTCTACATGACTAAATGCATTGAGTTGCTGCCATGTGATTGGCTGATTAGAAATGTGGGTTAATGAGCAGTTGGACAGGTGTACCTAATAAAGTGGCTGGTGAGTGTACACAGTATATATGTTATTTTAAAATAAATACGTTAAAAATATTTCTAGCATTTTATGACTCTATATTAATTTATTACATGTACAATTCTTGTCTCACAACAGGAGCATTTAATAATGAACGAATTTAAAAACCTCATTGTTTTTAACTGTGACTAAATGGCTGACATAAATCTAAATGGCCGACATAAATTGTCCTTTAAACACCACCTATCTATTCATAGACTTGTTTTGCACTTCTGGGAACATTCAAAAATTTGATGACTCATCTTGCACACTGATGCCTATGCATGTTTTATCCAATAAAATGCCCCGTATAATCCTAATCATAAACCCTAAAGTAGCAGTAGCATGTAGTCTCTTGTTGTTTATTTGACAGGGAGTATTTCATATAGCATTAATGATTATCTTTACAAATGTGCTCTCTGATAATACTGACTTGCCTCTTCTGCAATCTGTTACATCGCAATATCCAGCCTCTTTACTAACCTCTGGTGTTTGCTCATGTACGGCCCATTCGCACACACAGCCCAGCCCTTGATACTCCCATTCTCCGCTCTGTGCAGTCTCTAGCACTTTCCGCTGAGTCATCGTCCACATCACCAAGGTGATTAGACAAAGTGCTTGAGTCTTACACTCAAAGATCAGAAGAAGAGGAAGTGGCCATCTATCTATCGCTGTAATCCTCCCCATCTCGCTCATTGTCTTGCTTTGGGCTGCAGCTTATAGATTTATGATTGTACACATTTCTTTATGTATAAAAGTTCAGTTTAAATAACTCAAATGGAATCTGTTCATTTGATCTTTCATTGTCATCTTCGTCTGATTTAGCCACCTGTTTCAGACGAATTTGTGTATGTTGTTGCGCAGAGATGTTAGGTATGGCACGGGAACGCCATACTTTCACTGGGCCTGTGAATTATTTAACCGCCTGCTATAAATCTTTCATCTGATGAGAGCTGTAATATAGTGTGCTTAGGCAGGAAGTTATACTCCTGGGCCGCACCCTGCAAATCCTGCTCAGATCAGCCTGCTTGCAATAATAATGGACAAAAAAGCACCTTATTAGGCAATTACACTGCCTTTAATTGTAAGCTGGTTTCCTGATATGAGTTATTACATTGTGACCCAGAGTAGTGTTTTGTTCCCCCCTATGGAAAGCTACCGCATAAGAGATTGTTCTAGATATTTAAATAACACTAAGCAATCTCCAAAGGACTTTTCCATTGCAGCACTGCAGTCTCAAGCCTTTACCAGATCAACCCACTTCTCCTCAGCGAGCGATCTGAGAAAAATAGTCCCTGCTGAGAGCGCATTTGGGCCTCTTTCTGCTGTTCGTAGTCTGCAGTGGTCAACCGCTCCATTAGGGAAAAGGCTCTCAGCCGCGCCACTGAGAAAACGCCTGCGCTAGCAACTAGCATTCTGCATTATCAGTGCATTTTAGCAGCACAGTTAGAACTCTGCAATATTAGTGGTCTCAACTACCATCTTGGATCATCTGTGAATTTCAGATGGGATGTGGGATTTAGCCAGAAGCCAGTGTTCTGCAGTTAAGATAACTACTTCGCTTTAGTATATGTGCAGTGGATTTATAGTATGAGCTATTGGGCTATTAAAAATAAAGTAGGGTTTGCAGTGATTACATAGAGGAAGCAGTTTTGTTTCCCTAAAGAACCTTTTAATGAAGAGTTTGTAAAAGGACGTTTGAGTGAACATGTACAATATATTGTCATATACTTTATAATATATACTTTTCATTGGCCATAGTATATCAAATGAAAAGTATTCTTATATGGTGCATCCGGAAAGTATTCAAATTGCTTCAATTTTTCCACATTTTTTTTATGTTACAGCCTTATTCCAAAATAGATTAAATTAAATTGATTTATTTCCTCAAAATTCTTCACACAATACACCATAGTTACAATATGAAAAAAGATTTTCGGGCTCAGGGACATTTTGTTTCCACTGATCATTCTTGAGATGTTTCAGCAGCTTAATTGGAGTTCACCGGTGGTAAATTCAGTTGATTTGACATGATTTGAAAAGGCATACACCTGTCTATATAAGGTCCCAGGGTTGACAGTGCATGTCAAAGCACAAACCAAGACAAAAGAATGGTCTGTAGACCTCCGAGACAGGATTATCTCGAGGCACAAGGCTGATGAAGATGTCAGAAAAGTTTCTGCTGCTCTGCTGCTTCTGCTGCTCTGCTCTGTTCCAATGAGCAAAGTGGCCTCCATCTGTAAGTTGAAGATGTTCGGAACCACCAGGACTAGGGATGGCCATCTAAGCTGAGTGATCAGGGGAGAAGGGCCTTAGTCAGGGAGGTGATCAGTAAACCGATGGTCACTCTGTCTTACACCTTACAGAAGGACAATCAGGCCTGTATGGTAGAGTGGCTGGATGGAAGCCACTCCCTGCCTGGAAGGACTCTCAGACCACAAGAAACAAAATTGTCTGGTCTGAGACTAAAATTGAACTCTTTGGAGTGAATGCCAGGCATTACTTTTGGAGAAAACCAATACCATCCCTACTGTGAAGCATGGTGATGGCAGCATCATGCTGTGGGGATGTTTTTTTAGCTGCAGGAATTGGAAAACTAATCAGGATAGAGGGAAAAATGAATGCAGAAATGTACAGAGCCAGAGCCCAGACCTAAATCCTATTGAACATCTCTGGAGAGATCTGAAAATGGCTGTACACTGTCACTTCCCATCCAACCTGATAGAGCTTGAGAGGTACTGCAAAGAGGAATGGGCAAAAATTCCCAAAGAGAGGTGTGCCAAGCTCATGTTCAAAAAGACTTGAGGCTGTAACTGCTGCCAATGGTGGCTAACTTATTATATCTTAACAAAAATAATACCATGAATATGAAGACTTCAGGGTCTTTTTTTAATTTCAGGGCCGCCTTTGCCTGTTTCTGTGCTCTGAAAGAATAGTGAAGTGTGGCTTTCCGAACACCAGAAGCTGTTCAATTATTCATGCAATGACTCTGGTCAGCAGTTATCATTTCCCATGTCTCTGTCAATACGAGATGATCAGAAAAATATTTTGGAAGGACTCTTTTCAACTCAAATGTCTGTTTATACGTAGCACTAAAAACTCCTCATTCTCATGTGTGTGGTCTTTTTTTTTCTACCCCCAGTCGCTGTTGAGCATCCCTGGCTCGCCCTTCATGTCGCGCCGCAGCAGTATATTCAGCTTCAAGGGCTCAGAGAACGAGTTTGCAGACGATGAGCACAGCACGGTGGAGGAGAGCGAGGATCGCCGTGGCTCTCTCTTCGTCCCATACAGACGCAGCAGCTACAGCGGCTACAGTCAGGGCTCTTCTCGAATTAACCCGCTGGCTCCACACCCAGGCTGCAAGAGAAACAGCACGGTGGACTGCAATGGCGTGGTGTCTCTGATCGGGCCTGGACCTGGCCGACTACTGCCTGAGGTGAAAATAGATAAGGCAGCTTCTGATGACAGTGTAAGGACGTCCACAGGGGGCAGGTTCAGAGTATAGGCATGACAAGAGTGACCGACTATGATTCCAGTTCAGATTTTCCCCCTTTCCATTGACTGCATTTTGACTCTGTCCTTTCCTTTAAGTCTCTGGGTTTCTGGTCTGTTCTTTCTCAACTCTATATATGATCCCCTTTTCCTCCTTTTCTGTCTCTATTTTTCTTATTTCAAGCAAGTTTTGAGTTCTACCAGTCCCTGCCAGCGTTTCCCCTTCTGTAAATAGCATGACCAATCAAAAAATACTAATAAAGTAAGCAGAAATTAAGTACGTAGTTTAAGTCAAATGATTAACACTTTTTAAAACTCTTTTCTAATTACTAATTATTTTTGTTTTTGCCTTGATGACAGTATATTTTTAATACTAGTATTTAGTTTAAAGAGCAATTTAAATGCTTAACTAGGGATAATTTGGTTAACTAGGCAAGTTAGGGTAATTAGGTAAGTCATTGGACAACAGTTTATTCTGTAGCCAATCGAAAATAATAATAATAATGGAATTTATAATTTGGCTAATAATACTGACCTTAAGAATTGTTTTTAAAAAGATTAAAACTGCTTTAATTACAGCCAAACTAAAACTAATGAGACTTTCTCCAAGAAATTAAAAGAAAAATAGGAAATACGGTAAACGTTTCCCTGCTCTCCTAAAGAGCACCTATTTTGCATTATAAAAGATCATATTTTGGTTTTGGGGGTCTCCAACAACAGGCTGATATGCATGCAAGGTGCACCGCGGCTATGAAGTTGTACAGAATATGTGAGAGCCCAATGCAGGAATGCAATAAAGCAATGCAGTTAAACACCAGCATATTACTCTATTCTTAAACCAAAGCCCAAGTAATAACAACGACACACATTCACTATTAATCCACACAGTGGCAAAAGTTTAACTATTTTGAAAATTGACCGCGCTGCATGTGTGAATAAACACCTGCAGGTGGCAATAGCAAAATCAAACGGCAGAGGATTGAGATTTCAGAAACGCACTTATATCGGTAAAGAAAGAAGCATGTGACGCGTTGTCAACATGGTTTTGAATGCAAAATGTGAATAGCCCCACAAAGATTTAACCTGAGAGATACAGTACAAGCACTGATCTGAACAGATATGTGATTACAGGCCGTGCGGAGCGATTAAATGTTACAACACACAACTAAATACATATTTTGCAAACTATACAAAATGAGGCAACAATTTTAATAAAAGATCTGGAGAAAGAAGAACCTGGTCCATATAAACTGTAACAGTCACTGACAAAGTCCCTGTCGAAGTCCTATACATAGTAGTCTCTGCTGCTACTTCCTTTAAAAGCAAATAGCCGATGAATCCTACGTTGCAGCATAGGTTATTGTATTAAAAATCAAAAAATGACAGGAACAAACACATCACACGGTTGGCTATACTGTGGTGTTGTTGTGAAAACAAACTTTAACCCTTTATTCTATGCAGCTGAATCTCCGTCTGTCAGTGATCGTCATCTTTGTGTCATGATCATTCCCGTGATCTCCCGCGCTCCGCTAGTGTCTGAAGGAAAAGGCGCGTTCACGTTTTACAGAAACCGACACTTCATATTTGCTGATGTACCGCATCGACGCGTTCAAGCAAAGATCCAAACCCAACACGATTCATTTTTTCGACACTGAGTCGACTATTTTGTTAAAGAATCAGTAGTTTTAAACATGGTGCACTTTCAGATTTGGATGTTTATATTCATTTAGAGCTGTGTTACACACTGCATAGAAGCTCATTTTCAGAGACCCATAATAAGGGCTCTTTAAACATCACTTATGAAATATATTAATAAAGTACATAAATAAGTTGCATAAACTATATATGTTTAGAACCTAAAAATGAAGATTGTGACAAACGTCTGTCTCTTCTCTAAAAGTCTATTGACCTAAAATCTGACAATGTTTATAAAGCGATCAAAAATACTAATCCATATGAATCTAGTAGTTTAATCCAAGTCTTCTGAAGAGGCATGATCTCTTTTCCCCCAGTTTCACAGGCAAGGCTTAAGGCTATTACTAGACTAAATTGCACGTTTGAGCTGTCTTAACTGAAAATAACTTGCAGTTACAATCTTAAAATATGTCAGCGCCAGTGATTAGCCTCGAGATGGACACCAATAATGTGCAGTGCCATTTTTATAAAAGCTGCTTAAATGCCCTAATTTAACTAAGACGGCATAGTCCTGGCTTAAGCTAAGCCCTGTTCATGGTGGGCCTTTATGTGATGAACAGATTTATTTTAGGCTTTCATTCACATTTAAACAGCGTTCAAATTGGGTCACAGAGGCTCAGACATGCTTCCTTGACTTCCAACTTTTACACTGGTTTTTAATTTCACACGTCAAGCAGTTATGATTGACTTTGTGTTTATGATTGCTGTTCAATGTTTACATGTGAATAAAAGTCAAAATGACATTTAACATAATGAGATCACATAATTTACATACTAATTACATCAAATAAGGTGCCTACTATATTCGTCTGGCTATATTTAACCCCTTAAAATGTGTGATGCAAGAAAAAGCTATCCTAACCTTTCCAATAACAGCATTCTGCCTCATTTTAGTTAGCATGGTGGATTGACATCCTTATACTCTCTTTGCCTTCTCCTCCTGTGTGGAAAGCATGATGTCGGGCTCAGTTTTCACCCAGCATGCACATTCAACTGAATTTGCAGCTGTCACATTATCGTTTAATAAAATCTTGATGAAGATTTACTTAAACTTTAAAAAACAGTGAACATTGATGATAGAAGAAATTAAACATTGTCTTGACCAACACTCATAATGCTGAACTGACATTCTAATGCCAGTGAAAACTGGGCCTTAAGCAGTGTGTGTGATTTTTCTTCTTACAAGATGATATTGTCTGAAGGACAAGAACATTTTAATCGCCTTGCAGTGATAAATCTGTTGTCTTGTAACTGAATTAAAGGGATAATTCACTCCAAAAAGAAATTTATGTGATCATCAACTGACCCTTGAATTGCTTGTTGAATTCTGTTAAACACAAAAGAAGATATTTTGAAGAAAACTGAAAACCTGTAACCATTAACATCCATAGTAGGAAAACAAATACTATGGAAGTCAATGGCTACAGATTCACAGCATTTTTTCAAATATCTTTTTTGTGAAAAAAAAAAAATCAAGGGTCAGTAAATTAATTTTAATATTGGGGTGACCTATCATAAAAGCTCTAAATAAAAAAACATACTTTTGATTTCAATATAAAACAGTTTTTTTTGTATAACATTTTCTAATTTTATCTAATTTAAATATTTAATTTAAATTTAATAAAAAAAATGTTTTCAAATTTTTCAAATTTTCAAATTTTTTAAAATGTCTGATATAAAACTAAAAATACTGTAAATGATCTTTTTTATTTACATTCTCAGATATCATAGAGTTAAACAAATAATGTTCTTGTCAAACTCCAAAAAGAAAAAGTAAAGTTTCCTCCAAGGCAATGGTTCACAGTACTTTGACTCCATTGAGTGGTACCTTGACTTTTTCAGTTTGTGAACTGCTGGATTAGGGACAACTATTTTTATTCTTAATTAAATATTTTACTCTCAATTTCTCTCATTATTTTTATAAAATATTTCAGAACTTGGTATAACTAGAAAATGTGTGCTTGTGAACAGCCATGGTGTTAAAATATTTTATTTCCAGGTCTAGAAATTGCACTTTAATAAGACTACCTCATTTTTTGGACTACCTCACAATGTTTTTGAGGAGGTGATTTTAAAAAAATGAATAAAAAGTTTATATTTATATGTCAAATATTAAACATGATGCTTCTAAAAGTCTTTAAAAAAGTCTTAAAAGTCTTAAACAGTGATAAAAAGCATTGCGAAAATAAAGTTAAAAATGAAAGTTTGCATTTACTTTAGCAAAAATCTCATTCTAATCTATAAAAACCATTTGTTTGGTTATATTAAACTGCAGCATGATTTAGAGAAAGAATCCTTCTGAGAAATGCGTCAGATAATTCTGTAGTGACTGAAAACAACAATA